TTGTAGTCGTAGAGAGGTGGTTAGAGTAGTCTGAGATATAGGGTTTTTAAGGTTAGATAGTCTGTAGATAGGAGGGTTGGGGTTGAGTAGTCTGTAGATGAGGTGGGTTGAGTATCTGTAGATGAGGTGGGGGTTAGGGGGGTAGTCTTAGATGGGTGGGGTTAGTTGTTTTTAGGGGTTTAAAGGTCTGTGATGAGGTGGGTTAGGGTTAGGGTTTAGGGTTTAGAGTAGTTGTAGATGGGTGGGTTGGGGTTAGGGTTTTAAGGGTTGGGGGAGTGTCTGTGAGAGTAGGGTTGGGTTTAGGGGGTAGGGTTGGTTTTATTGGGGTGGGGTTGGGATTTTAGGGGTAGGGTTAGAGTAGTCTGTAGATAGGTGGGGTTAGAGTATTTTGTGATGGAGGTAGGGTTAGGGTTAGATAGTTTAGAGAGGTAGGGGGGGGTTTAGAGGTCTGTAGATGAGGTAGGGTTGAGTAGTTGTAGAGAGGTAGGGTTAGGGTAGTTCTGTAGATGGGGGGTTAGGGTTAGAGTAGTCGTAATGGGGTAGGGTTGGGGTTGAGTAGTCGTAATGGGGGGGAGGGTTAGAGAGTCTGTGAGAGGTAGGGTTAGGGATCTGTAGATGAGGGGGGTTAGGGGGTAGTCTGTAGAGAGGAAAGGGGGGGTTTAGGGTTGGGAAAATTCTGAGATGGGGTGGGTTAGAGTAGCGTAGATGAGTATTGGGGTTGAAAAGGTTTAGGGGGGGTAGTTGTAGATGGTGGTTAGGGTTGGGTTTTAGTTGTAAGAGGTAGGGGTTTAGAGTATCTGTAGGAGGTGGGTTGGGGTTAGATTTCGTAGATAAGGGGGGGTTTGGGTTAGAGAGTCTGTAGATGAGGTAGGGTTAAGTATGTAGATGATTAGGGTTAGATAGCTGTAGATAGGTGGGGGGGGTTTAAAGGGGGGGGTTGGGTCTGTAGAGGGGAGGGGTAGGGGGTTTTAGAGTAGTCTTTAATGGGGGTAGGGTTTAGGTTGGGTTAAGTAGTTGTAGATAAAGGGGTTGGGGTTTGGGGGGGTTAGAGTAGTCGTAGTGGGGTAGGTTTTGAGTAGTCTGAAAGAAGGGGGGAGGGTCGTTAGGGGGTTGGGTTCTGAGAGAGGTAGGGTTGGGTTGGGTTTTTGTAGATAGGTAGGGTTAGAGTACTGTGATGAGGGGGGTTGGGGTTAGAGTAGTTTTAAGGTAGGGTTGGGTTAGATATCTGTGATGAGTAGGTTAGAGTATTTGTAGATGAGGTAGGTTGGGTTAGAGTAGTCTGTAGTGAGGTGGGGTGGGGTTAGAGTAGTCTGTGATGGGGGGGGTTTAAAGGTAGTCTGTAGTGGGGAAAGGTTGAGAGTCTTAGATGAGGTAGGGTAGGGTTAGAGTATCTGTAGATGGGTAGGGTTAGAGATGTTGTAATGATAGGGTTGGGTTAGAGTTCTGTAGTGGGGTTTGGGTGGGGGTTAGAGTAGTCTGAATAAAAGGTGGGGTTGATAGTCTGTAGAGAGGTAGGGTTAGAGTATCTGTAGATGAGGTAGGATTAGAGTAGTTTTTGAGGTGGGGTTTGGGGTTTTAGATAGTTGTAGATGGTAGGTTAGAGTTAGGAGTCTTAGATGATGGGGTTGAGTAGTCTGTAGGAGGTGGGGTGGGGTTAGATAGTCTGTGTGAGGTAGGGTTATAGTTGAGATCGTGATGAGGTAGGGTTAGGTAGTCGTAGATGAGGGGGGGTAGGTTAGAGTAGTCTGTAGATGAGGTAGGGGTAGGGTTAGAGTAGTCTGTAGATGAGGTAGGGTTATAGTTAGGTAGTCTGTAGATGAGGTAGGGTTAGAGTAGTCTGTAGATGAGGTAGGGTTAGGGTTAGAGTAGTCTGTAGATGAGAGGGTAGGGTTAGAGTAGTCTGTAGAGGTGTAGGTTTAGAGTAGTCTGTAGATGAGGTAGGGTTAGGGTAGAGTAGTCTGTAGATGAGGTAGGGTTAGGAGTAGTCGTAGAGGGTATATAGTCTGTAGATGAGTAGGTTAGGTTAGAGTAGTCTGTAGATGAGTGGGTTAGGTTAGAGTAGTTAGTAGTGAGGTGTAGGGTTAGGGTTAGGAGTTGTAAGGGTAGGGTAGGGTAGATGTCTGAGTAGGGTAGGGTTAGGGTTAGAATAGTCTGTTATCTTAGAAATACGCTGAGCTGCTAATTGTCTTCAGGCCGTTGCCATGGTTACCCCAAAGTCTCAATCATAACCTCTGTGTGACATGATAGGGTAATTTTTTCAATGGAATTCATTGAACGGCTAATGAGGGAACGTAGCGAGCGCGTAGGACGAGAGAGAGACGAGAGAGAGAGCGCGACGAGATAGAGAGAGAGAAGAGAGAGAGAGAAAGAGAGGATCTCTCTCTTCTCTCTCTCCCTCTCTCTCTCTCTCGCTCTCTCTATCTCTTCTCTCTCTCTCTCTTCTCTCTCTCTCTCACACACACACCAGGGTTTTTGTTAGCCATTAATTGCTGGTTTTTGGCAGATTCTTTCCCATTGCTAAATAATTATTTACTGCTGCCTAGACTAGAGTTCTGTACTCACTTAAAAGTAATGATAAAATTACTCATTGCATTGTGTTTTTGTAGCCAACGGAGGATAGTTTTCTTGTCCCTATAAAAGATGTAATCAATAGGTTACCTTTCTCCCACGGCCGTGATTGGGAGTCCCATAGGGCAGCACACAATTGGCCCAGCGTCGTCCGGGTTTGGCCGGTGTAGGCCGTCATTGTAAATAAGAATTTGTTCTTAACTGACTTGCCTAGTTAAATAAAGGTAAAAAATTATAGTCATGGATAATTTATCATTATAGTTATGGATAATTTATCATTATAGTTATGGATAGTGTATCATTATAGTTATCATTATAGTTATGGATAATTTATCATTATAGTTATCATTATAGTTATGGATAATTTATCATTATAGTTATGGATAATTTATCATTATAGTTATCATTATAGTTATGGATAATTTATCATTATAGTTCTGGATAATTTATCATTATAGTTATGGATAATTTATCATTATAGTTATCATTATAGTTATGGATAATTTATCATTATAGTTATGGATAATTTATCATTATAGTTATGGATAATTTATCATTATAGTTATCATTATAGTTATGGATAATTTATCATTATAGTTATGGATAATTTATCATTATAGTTATGGATAATTTATCATTGTAGTTATGGATAATTTATCATTATAGTTATGGATAATGTATCATTATAGTTATGGATAATGTATCATTATAGTTATGGATAATGTATCATTATAGTTATGGATAATGTATCATTACAGTTATTGTTATAGTTATTGAATTCCATGCTGTCACTGTCACTTGTCCACTCAAGCTTAAACGGGAAGGGAATCACTAGGCTTTAGAACGCCAGCTAACTGTAACCCTATATTGCTAATGTCGCGTCACTGGTAGGAGAGAACGTTTTGGAATTCCCCAAAATGGCTGAATTAACTGAGAGAAGTAGTAGCTCTGAGTCTGAAAATGAATTAATGGCAGAGGACGAAATAGATAGAGAGACAATAAATCTCCTGAAACCTTTCATGTTGGAGCTGATCATTGCCCGGGGTCAAAAAGTTAGTTCTCATGGCAACAATAGCAACATACAGTAGATTGGCCTGTAACAGCTCAGTTAGAGGGTCCAGTGACACAAACTGGTGTGAGTCCGGATGCTGCCAGATAATGGCTGGGGAGTATGAGTGTGTGTGTTTTAGAGAGATGGTGGCGATACAGCACAAAATCCCAGCGGATGGTGGCTGTATTACATCAAGTCAGAGGTTCCTGACAGTCTGTCTGGATGGCGATGTGTCAGTCATTCTTATGAAGGACTTGGCAGAAGAGGTTTCTGTCTGTCTGGATGGCGATGTGTCAGTCATTCTTATGAAGGACTTGGCAGAAGAGTTTACTCGACCTGTCAGCAGCCGGTAAACCAGTTAATGACAACCAATATAGTTATCGTTATAGTTATGTAACAACTAGAACACACCCGAGGGTAACTACAATAATGGAGAGGTAATAATAAGAACTACAATAATGGAGGGGTAATAATAAGAACTACAATAATGGAGAGGTAATAATAAGAACTACAATACACCCGAGGGTAACTACAATAATGGAGAGGTAATAATAAGAACTACAATAATGGAGGGGTAATAATAAGAACTACAATAATGGAGGGGTAATAATAAGAACTACAATAATGGAGAGGTAATAATAAGAACTACAATAATGGAGAGGTAATAATAAGAACTACAATAATGGAGGGGTAATAATAAGAACTACAATAATGGAGAGGTAATAATAAGAACTACAATAATGGAGGGGTAATAATAAGAACTACAATAATGGAGAGGTAATAATAAGAACTACAATAATGGAGGGGTAATAATAAGAACTACAATAATGGAGAGGTAATAATAAGAACCACAATAATGGAGGGGTAATAATAAGAACTACAATAATGGAGAGGTAATAATAAGAACTACAATAATGGAGAGGTAATAATAAGAACTACAATAATGGAGGGGTAATAATAAGAACTACAATAATGGAGGGGTAATAATAAGAACTACAATAATGGAGGGGTAATAATAAGAACTACAATAATGGAGGGGTAATAATAAGAACTACAATAATGGAGAGGTAATAATAAGAACTACAATAATGGAGGGGTAATAATAAGAACTAGAATACACCTGAGGGTAACTACAATAATGTCGGTGGCCAGGGTTTTGGATGCCTGTCTGTGGCCAGGGTTTTGGATGCCTGTCTGTGGCCAGGGTTTTGGATGCCTGTCTGTGGCCAGGGTTTTGGATGCCTGTCGGTGGCCAGGTTTTGGATGCCTGTCGGTGGCCAGGGTTTTGGGTTTGAATACGCATCCATGGACATGTTAGGATAATAATAAAGGTATTATTAGTAAAGGTACCTAAAAGAGCCCTACACATTGCATGACAGTATTAATTGCCTTTGACAAAGAAAAATTAGGTTCTAGTTTACCTCAATGTGTTGCTGTATCGCTCTATTCTCTCTGTCTCCAACCAGTAGCTGTTCTTCACTTCGGTCACATGCACAGTCTCCTGGGCGAGGATCAGGTGGGAAGCAGAGTCCAGGATGGTGTAAGAGCCAAAGGAGGCACAGTGGCCTGGCAAATCACAGCGTGCGTCTCCAGATACAGTCAGTGGACTGTCACCAATTAAAGCCAGAATGGCCTCCGTGTGCTGGGTCCACATGTGGTTAACTTCTGGCACAATTTTGAAGCGCTGTATGTTGGTGAACTGTCGACACGACATGGACACTTGGCCAAGAAGGTGACAAGTTTCCACAAATGTGCCGTGAGAGCCGCCGGTAAGGAAGACGGCTGATGACACCAAAAGATTCCCTGCAAACAATTTTCCCACTCTGGTCTGGGACTCCCACTTCCTCCTGTGACCCACAACACAATCGGTCTCCATGGTTATGGCAAAACCACTTCTGTTCTGGGATGAACTGAGGACACCTGCTCCACTTCCTGGCTCGTGGCAGACACTGAACAGCTCCTTCAGCTTGTTATGGAAGACGATGTATTTTGCATCATGCACACAGTCTTTGATAGAAACTCCTGGCTCACACTGCAACGAGCTGCTTCTCTCAGGCTCATACAGTGAGTCCTGGTCCTGGTCTTGACTCATCTCACTCATAGTCAGCTCCTCCATGATCTGTGGCGGAAAGGGCTTGGTCGTACTGTAGACAGATGGTCATGAACGCAGTCAAGCTGGGCCTCCAACTCTGTAGTGATGGTCCTGATGGACCTCTTCTCAACCACAGCACAAGGTCACTATGGCACCCAGGGGTCAGTTTGGCAAGCAGTACTAACCATTATTTCCTGAAGGCAGTTGTAATAAGATCATGATGATGCATCTATTAGGCTATAGTTACAGTATATTGTTCAAGAATCACTGTATATTGTCCATTTGATATCCAAAATCCCCTCAGGAATGACAGCTTGAAATGAAAACTAGTTTAGAAATAACATGGGTTAGCATGTAGCTACCTCCTCTGACTCCTGCAGTCTCCCCGGTCTCCTCCAGGATGAAAACGTTTTCAGGGATAACAATGTAATCCTGAAAAGAAACAAACGTTTTGTTACATCTACAGAACCCAAATATATCAGGGTTGTAGATGTGTTATGCACACACACACAAACACACACATACACACACACACAACCACACACACGAACACACAAACACACACATACTATGTGACATACTGTAGCAGAGCAAAGACTGGGACATTTCTCAACAAACATTATTTAAACTTCAATCTAACCATCTAATCTACCCACACAGACACAGCAGAGAAAATACAGGGAGCGACATTTCTCTTTCAGCAAACATTGGCTATGTCAACTTCAGTCTAGCTATCTAAGGTGGCGCTAACAAAATCAGGTAGTTAGCTAGCTAGCAACACTTCTTGACAGCTAATGTTACTGGCTAACATTAGGTGCTGCAGGTCAAAAAATCTCTGTCAGCATAACTAGCTGAGCTTACCTTCACTGACTCGCGCCGCCTCCTCCGTTCATTCCTTGACACTGAAGTGATTGATGTTGGCGATGATGGTCGGTCAGTAACCCCCACACCATGACCCTCGAACTTAAAGATGGAGGGAAGAATTCTTTCCATTAAGAAACTCCCGCTTGCGACATCAAAAGTGCCCTTCATATCAAAGTCCTCCTCGGCAAAGTGCTAGCTGCAGATCCTACCTTGAGCTGGCACGTCCTTCCTCTTCAGGAACTGGAGTCACTTTTTCCAGTATTGTGGGTCTCTGACCAGCTTTACTTCCTAAAGTGATTCCATTCCCCTTTAAGACTGATGCTAGTGATTCCATTCCCCTTTAAGACTGATGCTAGTGATTCCATTCCCCTTTAAGACTGATGCTAGTGATGAATATGTCCCTTTAAGATGGACGCTAGTGATGACTATGTATCCATTAAAAAACTGATGCTTGTGATGACTATGTCACTTTAAGACTGATGCTAGTGATAACTATGTCCCTTTAAGATGGATGCTAGTTATTCCATTCCCCTTTAAGACTGATGCTAGCGATTCCATTCCCCTTTAAGACTGATGCTAGTGATTCCATTCCCCTTTAAGACTGATGCTAGTGATTCCATTCCCCTTTAAGACTGATGCTAGTGATGAATATGTCCCTTTAAGATGGACGCTAGTGATGACTATGTATCCATTAAAAAACTGATGCTTGTGATGACTATGTCACTTTAAGACTGATGCTAGTGATAACTATGTCCCTTCAAGAGACTGATGCTAGTTATGACTATGTATATTTAAGACTGATGCTAGTGATGACTCTTCCCCTTTAAGACTGACGCTAGTGATGACTATGTCCCTTTGAGACTAATTCTAGTGATGACTATGTCCCTTTGAGACTAATTCGAGTGATGACTATGTCCCTTTAAGAGACTGATGCTAGTGATGACCATGTCCCTTTAAGAGACTGATGCTAGTGATGACTATGTCCCTTTAAGACTGATGCTAGTGATGACCATGTCCCTTTAATAGACTGATGCTAGTGATAACTATGTCCCTTTAAGAGACTGATGATAGAATTGACCATGTCCCTTTAAGAGACTGATGCTAGTGATGACCATGTCCCTTTAATAGACTGATGCTAGAATTGACCATGTCCCTTTAAGAGACTGATGCTAGTGATGACTATGTCCCTTTAAGAGACTGATGCTAGTGATGACTTTGTCCCTTTAAGACTGATGCTAGTGATGACCATGTCCCTTTAAGAGACTGATGCTAGTGATGACTTTGTCCCTTTAAGACTGATGCTAGTGATGACTATGTCCCTTTAAGAGACTGATGCTAGTGATGACCATGTCCCTTTAAGAGACTGATGCTAGTGATGACTTTGTCGCTTTAAGACTGATGCTAGTGATGACTATGTCCCTTTAAGAGACTGATGCTAGTGATGACCATGTCCCTTTAGAGACTGATGCTAGTGATGACTATGTCCCTTTAAGAGACTGATGCTAGTGATGACCATGTCCCTTTAAGAGACTGATGCTAGTGATGACCATGTCCCTTTAAGAGACTGATGCTAGTGATGACCATGTCCCTTTAAGAGACTGATGCTAGTGATGACCATGTCCCTTTAAGAGACTGATGCTAGTGATGACCATGTCCCTTTAAGAGACTGATGCTAGTGATGACTATGTCCCTTTAAGAGACTGATGCTAGTGATGACCATGTCCCTTTAAGAGACTGATGCTAGTGATGACATGTCCCTTTAAGAGACTGATGCTAGTGATGACTATGTCCCTTTAGAGAGACTGATGCTAGTGATGATGACATGTCCCTTTAAGAGAACTGATGCTAGTATTGACATGTCCCTTTAAGAGACTGATGCTAGTGATGAACTATGTCCCTTTAAGAGACTGATGCTAGTATTGACCATGTCCCTTTAAGAGACTGATGCTAGTGATGACTATGTCCCTTTAAGAACTGATGCTAGTGATGACCATGTCCCTTTAAGAACTGATGCTAGTGATGACATTGTCCCTTTAAGAGACTGATGCTAGTGATGACCATGTCCCTTTAAGAGACTGATGCTAGAATTGACTATGTCCCTTTAAGAGACTGATGCTAGTGATGACTATGTCCCTTTAAGAGACTGATGCTAGAATTGACCATGTCCCTTTAAGAGACTGATGCTAGTGATGACTTTGTCCCTTTAAGAGACTGATGCTAGTGATGACTATGTCCATTTAAGAGACTGATGCTAGTGGATGACCATGTCCCTTTAAGAGACTGATGCTAGTGATGACCATGTCCCTTTAAGAGACTGATGCTAGAATGACTATGTCCCTTAAGAGACTGATGCTAGTGATGACTATGTCCCTTTAGAGACTGATGCTAGAATTGACCATGTCCCTTTAAGAGACTGATGCTAGTGATGACTTTGTCCCTTTAAGAGACTGATGCTAGTGATGACTATGTCCATTTAAGAGACTGATGCTAGTGATGACCATGTCCCTTTAAGAGACTGATGCTAGTGATGACTATGTCCCTTTAAGAGACTGATGCTAGTGATGACCATGTCCCTTTAAGAGACTGATGCTAGTAGATTGACTATGTCCCTTTAGAGACTGATGCTAGTGATGACTATGTCCCTTTAAGAGACTGATGCTAGAATTGACCATGTCCCTTTAAGAGACTGATGCTAGTGATGACTTTGTCCCTTTAAGAGACTGATGCTAGTGATGACTATGTCCCTTTAAGAGACTGATGCTAGTGATTGACTATGTCCCTTTAAGAGACTGGATGCTAGTGATGACCATGTCCCTTTAAGAGACTGATGCTAGTGATGACTTGTCCCTTTAAGACTGATGCTGTGATGACCATGTCCCTTTAAGAGACTGATGCTAGAATTGACCATGTCCCTTTAAGAGACTGATGCTAGAATTGACCATGTCCCTTTAAGAGACTGATGCTAGTGATGACCATGTCCCTTTAAGAGACTGATGCTAGAATTGACTATGTCCCTTTAAGAGACTGATGCTAGTGATGACTATGTCCCTTTAAGAGACTGATGCTAGAATTGACCATGTCCCTTTAAGAGACTGATGCTAGTGATGACTTTGTCCCTTTAAGACTGATGCTAGTGATGACTTTGTCCCTTTAAGACTGATGCTAGTGATGACCATGTCCCTTTAAGAGACTGATGCTAGAATTGACCATGTCCCTTTAAGAGACTGATGCTAATGATAACTATGTCCCTTTAAGAGACTGATGCTAGAATTGACCATGTCCCTTTAAGAGACTGATGCTAGTGATGACTATGTCCCTTTAAGAGACTGATGCTAGAATTGACCATGTCCCTTTAAGAGACTGATGCTAGAATTGACCATGTCCCTTTAAGAGACTGATGCTAGTGATGACTATGTCCCTTTAAGAGACTGATGCTAGTGATGACCATGTCCCTTTAAGAGACTCATGCTAGTGATGACCATGTCCCTTTAAGAGACTGATGCTAGAATTGACCATGTCCCTTTAAGAGACTGATGCTAGTGATGACTATGTCCCTTTAAGAGACTGATGCTAGTGATGACTATGTCCCTTTAAGAGACTCATGCTAGTGATGACCATGTCCCTTTAAGAGACTCATGCTAGTGATGACCATGTCCCTTTAAGAGACTCATGCTAGTGATGACCATGTCCCTTTAAGAGACTCATGCTAGTGATGACCATGTCCCTTTAAGAGACTCATGCTAGTGATGACTTTGTCCCTTTAAGACTGATGCTAGTGATGACCATGTCCCTTTAAGAGACTGATGCTAGTGATGACCATGTCCCTTTAAGAGACTCATGCTAGTGATCAGTATGTTCCTTTGAGGCTCTAGTATTTATTGTGTTGTATACAGGGTTCTGTAGATAACAGATAAACACACTCTGACCACTTTAATGATCAATGTGAACAACTACAAATGCATCCAGCTCTCTGACCACTTTAATGATCAATGCTAATGTAAAACATTATCCATTGAAGATGAGCTGAATAAAGGGCCGTCCACTCCAAGGATGCTAACTATAACGATAAAAAATACATTCACACTACAACGAGCGTATGGATCACTTTCAGAGCGATTTTTCCCCCTGTCCCTCTGACGATAAAACATTGACATCCAATC